CTGGTCACTTTATAATAGGTCAACCTCTTACCTCTTTTCCTGAAAAGGATGTGTCTTCAGTCCCTGACAATCGACTTTCGTTTTGGGAACAATGTTCCAAAATTAGGTCACTTTTTTGGAAGAGATATTCTACAGAATATCTGAACAGGTTACAACATAAGCCCAAATGGATCAAACCCGCATCCAATTTAAAGGTCGACATGATGGTGTTACTGAAAGAAGATAACACACCCCCTCTGGACTGGATGCTGGGTCGGATTCAGAGGGTAATGACTGGTCCAGATGGCAAGGTTAGAGTGGCCGAGGTGAGAACACAAACCGGCTGTTTTGTTAGGCCTATTACAAAATTGGCTCCCTTGCCTTTTGATTAAGTTGAAGGCGAGACTTCAACTGGGGGGGAGGATGTTTAGATTTCTTTAATAACTCAAGTCATTTATTGCACGTCATCGACGGTTCACAACACGCCCTATGTTATCGAACGCCCCATGTTATCGAACGCCCCTAAAAAAATAGACAAATGAATATAACCCAACTTTTTTAATGACAGTTTCGGTCTGGAAGATTCGATTCCAGTATCATCCAGTTTCACACACTCAGCGCAACAAGTTCCGTGTCAATGCACTTCCTCCACGTGGTTGAAAACCAACACTGTTAATTGCTATAATTAATTTAATCGTAACATTGTACTGTTCGTCTTTGTTGATCCGTTTGTTTGCGGTAGTAAACGTGTTTTGAGTTGGAATTAAAACGATTAAAAACTAACCGCGTTCGAGTTTTATTAAAACCACCCAAGGTCTATCTGGTCCACTCTATCGAAGGAACTCTAAAATCCCCACAATGGTATTGCACTTTGTAATGTCAGCATTTGTGTAAATACTTTTTGTAAATAAATTTGTATATAGCATTACTAAACGGATTTGATCTCGTATCAAGCTAATGTTGTAATGTCTGGATTTGTGTAAATACTTTTTGTAAATAAATTTGCATATAGCTTTACTAAATTGATTTGATTTCCTATCAAGCTAATGTAATGTCTGGATTTGTGTAAATACTTTTTGTAAATAAATTTGTATATAGCATTACTAAACCGATTTGATCTCTTATCAAGCTAATGTTGTAATGTCTGGATTTGTGTAAATACTTTTTGTAAATAAATTTGTATGCAGCATTACTAAACTGATTTGATCTATCGACTATCAAGCTAATGTAATGTCTGGATTTGTGTAAATAAATTTGTATATAGCATTACCAAACTGATTTGATTTCCTATCAAGCTAATGTAATGTCTGCATTTGTGTAAATACTTTTTGTAAATAAATTTGTATATAGCATTACTGAACTGATTTGATTTTCTATCAAGCTAATGTAATGTCTGCATTTGTGTAAATACTTTTTGTAAATAAATTTGTATATAGCATTACTAAACTGATTTGATCTCCCATCAAGCTAATGTAATGTCTGGATTTGTGTAAATAAATTTGTATATAGCATTACTAAACTGATTTGATCTCTTATCAAACTAATGTTGTAATGTCTGGATTTGTGTAAATACTTTTTGTTATAAATTTGCATATAGCTTTACTTAATTGATTTGATTTCCTATCAAGCTAATGTAATGTCTGCATTTGTGTAAATACTTTTTGTGAATAAATTTGCATATTTTTTTTTTAAGAAATTTTTTTTATGACCCTTAAACAGTTGACAGAAAACTGGCACTTGGGCCTAAGACTTAATTAAATACAAATTATACTTATATACACTTTCCAGCTACTTAAGTTAATATATATAGCTTTACTAAATTGATTTGATTTCCTGTCAAGCTAATGTAATGTCTGGATTTGTGTAAATAAATTTGTATACAGCATTACTAAATTGATTTGATTTCTCATCAAGCTAATGTTTGCTAGTGAAAAAATACATACTTGTTTTCCTGTTTCGACTAAACTTGTCAATTAGATTTGTAGGTACCTACCAAAATGTCCAAAATGCTAAATAAAACAAAACTTTGAAAACATACAAAACATTTTTTATTTTTGTGTCAATAATAATAATTGATAAATTAGTATTGAAACAATTTAACGCAATGCTCGTCTTTTATTTCCAAAAATAGGTCTCACTAAAATGAGATCGTTACTGAGATGAATCACACACGACGAGACATGGGGGCTCGATTCTTGGCCCAGGGAGTAGAGTTCTCTGATAGAACGCATGTTTTGTCCTTGTCACCCTAATCGAAAAGTAAACGAAAATGATAAGATGAAAAATGTGTTCTCTCGGGGAGCTCTACTTCCTGAAACCAGAATCGGGCCCATGATGAGGATGGGTCAATTTTGATGAAATTTAGCAACAAATATGTAAAAGTCTTAACTCTATGGATAAGCTCATTTCCTTACTTTAATGATACACTAATATTATATTTGAAACAAATAGCAAATAAATAAACTGCTTGCCAAAAAAAGGGACAATCAATTTTTATCACAATATTCAATTTGTAATAACTTTTTAAAAATTATTTTTTTTGCAATGAGGTTTTTGGCATTAGAAAGCACATGTATAGGGTCATTTTTTATATTTTCTTACCCCTCTTAACTTTTTTGTGCCACCGGGTATAAAAAAAATGTTAACAGGAAAGGGGTAGTGCTTGAAAAATAGTTCTCAGAAAACATAGTTTTGTTCATACAGGGTGTTGCAAAAAGTTTAAAAAACAGAAAAATATATATATTTTTTTTAAATGGGACGCCCTAAATATTATAATATTTCTGGATTCTGTGGAAAATTCTAGACATATTTTATGTATAATGTCATATACCTATCTTGAGTTGTTCCGGAAATAATTGCAGTAAAAATTTAACTTTTTTGCAACTTTGATAGGCTGTAAAACCTAAACTGTTAATTTTACAGCAAAACCGATTTTACATTCTTGTCTACAGCTTCTCATGAGCTAGGATTTGACACCAACTTTGTATTTAACTGGAGATTAAATTTATTTGGAATTTTCAATCATGGATTAAATTCAAAGTTGGAGTCACATGATATGTTATAAAAAAATAGGACAAGCATTTATGATCAGTTTTGCTGTAAAATCAACTGTTCAGGTTTTACAGTCTGTCAAAGATACAAAAAAACCAATTTTCTACCATCATTATTTCCAAAACAGTGGAAGATAAGTAAATGACATTGTTCATGAAATATGTCTAGAATTTTCCGCAGAATCCAGAAATGTCATAATATACAGGGTGTTCCATTTGAAAAATATATTTTTTTGTTTTTTAAACTTTTGGCAACACCCTGTATGAACAAAACTGTGTTTTTTGAGAACTATTTTTCAAGCACTACAACTTTCCTATTTAATTTTATTTTATACACAGTGGCACAAAAAAGTTAAGGGGGGTGGGAAAATATAAAAAATGCCCTTGTACACCCTACATACATATATCTTGTGGGAAAAAATATATTTTTTTAAAGAATCCATTTTGTAAGTAATATGCAGGGTGAATAATAAACTGATACAAAAGTACAAAGTTAAATGTTTGCCATATTGGCAATATTTCTTTTTTCAGATCTTCGTATAGGCGTTAGTGAGTTAATATTGATATCAATACATGTCTCCAGACGTAGCGGCCACTTTTTTGATAAGTGTCCTTTGGCAGCAGGTACACTACTAAACAACAAAGTTGCTAAAATCTTGTAAGCATACACAAGGTTCAAGGAGCTGTAGCTTGAAAACGGTTGTATCGATTTCTAACAGCATTGCAGGTTTCAAAAGCTTGTTTTTTTTATAGGTTCCACTTGAGGTTTTACAGTTGAAGAAAACGTTCCACAATAAAAAAAACTGTAAGCCACATAGTGGTACTAAAATGAATTTTCAGGAAGTTCTTATGCAAAAACAAAAAAATCTTACCGAGATATTGGCCCAAAGTATCACCTTGCCAACAAGAGGCATACAGTCAAATTTGAATAGGTTTAAAAAGAACAATTATCATAATTTGCCTAATTTGAGGTTTATGATTTTCTCGAACCCTGTATAATATAGACAGAAACCACCTGCAAAAAAAAGCTTATGAAACCTGCAATGCTCTTCGAAATTGATACAACTATTTTCAACCTACAGCCCTTTTGCATCAGTTTATTATTTACTCTGAATATAACTTGAAAAATGCATTCTTTCAAAAAAAATATTTTTTTCCCAGGTGATATACAACATGGGCTTTTGAATACCAAAAAAAAAATTAAAATAGTTATTTACCTAACAAATGCGGAAAGTGATACTTTACCGCACGCAACGGCAGTTGACCAAACGACGCGAAGCGGAGTTCGGTCAAGCCGTTAAGGGCGGTAAAGGCACTTTCCGCATGTGTTAGGTACAAAATTTTACCTATGAGCATCAACATCTCCAAAAAAAGGCACTGATAAAATTAATTAATGAATCAGATTAATTAATGAAATTAGATAAGATTTAGAAATGATCAAAAATCCATTTTCTGAAAAAGAGAGGATTTTTGATTATAAATATCAAATTCTACTTTACCGCACACTATGCGGTAAAGTGCACTTTACCGCACACTTTGTATTCTACTTTACCGCATACTATGCTGTAAAGTTAACTTTACCGCACACTATGCGGTAAAGTGCACTTTACCGCACGCTCGTAGGTAAAAGTTATTACAAAATACAAATTGAATAATTAAATCAAATCAAAAATGAAGAAGGTCTTAATTTTATCAATAAACAAACATTTCTTAACATTAATGATATTCTAATATAATAATTATAATAACCCAAACAGCAAATAAATATATAAATAAAAAACTCGAAAAAAAAAAAAAAACATTTAACTAAATAAACACAACATTTAGTTGAATTTTAATGATATATATCAATAACAATAACAACGATAATTCTTGAAGTAAACAAAAGATAAATTGAATATATAATTAAACAAAGGATGAATTAAATATATAACTGAAGAAAAACTCTAAAAGAAAAACTAAACCTACAAATTATTCTTTGCACATTTTACTGGCAATTTCCTGCAAAGCTAAGTGAATACCTCTATTACTATTCATCAAATCTTGCAAACACACTCTAATTTCTTTAAGTTCAGAAAGTGTTTCTCTGTATATTGTCTCCATTGGGTCTTCATTTTTGCTCTTAAAGCGCTTCGGATTTTGCATCGGAGCTTTCAAATAATCGTGATCTTCTAATAATTGTCTTTTTGGTGCAACTGTTTCAATCCTAGGAAACAATTCAAAGTTAGTTTTAAGTTATTTCACTAGGTACTACTGATTTTATTGTCTGATTAAAAAAAAATAATAAACAGGCTCTTTCGAGGGCTCTTTCAATTTAAAAAAAAAAAATAAAAAAATAAAAGAAGCTTGATACAATTGATGAGGGTAACTGTAAAATATAAATGATAATAACTTACACTGGGACTTGCTGTTGGATGCAGATTTCTTTCTGGCTAGAAGAAGCTATTGGAATATCTGATGTTTGGTCCTGGCTAGAAATATTATTTTGGCTTGAAGTAGATGGAGAGGTAGATGGTAAATTACCTATTTTCATTTCTTCAATGTTGGGTTTTGAAATGCCAAAACTACTCAAGCCATGTTCAAGTCTTCCAACACCTTTATAAAAAGTTGGGCCCAATATGCCTAAAAATCTGTTTTCTATTGCAGACAAACCTTTAAGTTGTGGGGATCCAACGCCTCCTGTTTCATTCATTTCCACCTTAATTGCTGCTGCTTTTTTTTTTTAATAAATGTTTAAAATCTGTCCAGGTCTAAAAGAAACATTATTATGACTATAAATAATGGCAGTGGATGGAGGTCCGAAAATTCGGACCTCTGGTGTTCATACTGAAGATCCGATAATTTTCAGATTTTCAATTTGTATAGTAGGGGTCCGAAAATGCGGATCTTTAGTGGTAATTGAAGATCCGAAAATAGATGTTTATTTCTAATTCTGTCTAATTAAGGAATATTATCGTTGCAAGTATCTACAAAGAATAATATTCGAGATAAGTCTGTTTCTGCAGAAATCACAAAGCAGAGTGAATTTCATTGGTTGAAACTAATTTTCTGACTGTTTTTGACTATTTTTAACCAATAAAATTTGCTCTGACTGGTTTGTGATTTCTACAGAAACAGACTTATCTGGAATATTATTCTTTGTTAATATTTGCAATGCCATTTTAATGGAACTAGCTCAAGAACCAAATACTACTAGACAAAATCAATTAGAAGAAAAAATAAAAAGTATTAAATTTCCTTTAAAACTTGCCCATAAAGAAAGACCCAAGGGACATCAATTAACTGCATTTGGACTAAAAAGATCTAAGAAAAATAAAAGTGACTTATTCAAAAACTCGTTCAAAAATGAAGTTCCTAAACTGAGGCACCAGATAATGCTTAATGCAATTTTAAATACAGAAGATTTGGGAAGAAAACATTCCTCATCATCAACAAATTGATCCACTTCTTCTTGAATAAGAAATATCTTTAGCAGAAATAGAAGCCTATGTTTGTCAGGATTCTTATGTTTTATTACAAAAACGAATTGAAAAAAAAACCAAATAGTATTCTAAAATGGATTTGTGATATATGTAACAAAGTGATACATGAAGATTGCTTAGGACGGACGGTGTGATTCATGTCTCCGGTGTGCTGTTCAGTAACAAAGCTGCCTTCTAGTGAGAAAGCCCGGTTTTGCATGCAGTGCAGAAGGAACTTAATCACACCTCTCACCCTATCAACCCTTAAAATAAACAAATATTTATTTTTATTTATGTAATGTTTTGAAAGAAAAAGGGTAGGTACTTAGTTTTGTTTTTGTACTTTTTTGTTTGAAATTGCACCAACCAAATATTTTTGAGTAAACTTGATTAGCTATTCTGCATAAAAAAGATTAGAGGATCCATTTTTTCCAGTATCAATCCTAAAAAATATAAGCAAATTTTATAATATTCCTAATTACGACAGAATTAGAAATAAACATCTATTTTCAGATCTTATTACCACTAAAGATCCGCATTTTCGGACTCCTAATATACAAATTGAAAATCCGAAAATTATCAGATCTTTGGTATAAACACTAGAGATCCGAATTTTCGGACCTCTATCCACTGCCATAAATAATAATGCCAATCTGAAGAACTTGCAATAAACACAATTTTTCTGGTAACAAATTTGTATGAAACTGAGAAGGAGATAATATAAAAATACCAGCCAATTTACCTTTTGCCATTTTATCGGGGATCTTTCCCCCAACCCCGTTAAATTTAATTGTTTACTTAATTCGTTCCACAATCTTTTTGTCCTCTCCTTTCCGGACGCACCATTTAGGAATCCCTTGGCAAAATTCTGGTTTTTCTCCATGAAATCTATCATGATTTCCCAGTGTATGGAGCTCGTTCTGAATGACATCGTTGAAGACAACCTTTTTTTTATAAAATTTTTCAATATCCTCCACAACCAAACAACAAACTGACAACAACAAACAATTGACGTTTTCAATTAAAAGAGATGGACGATAAGTATGAAAACATTCATTTTCCCGCCAACATTTGCTTGCTTGTCAATGTCATTGTGTACTGGGTGGTTAGCAATCCCCTCGTTTTTATTCGAATCGGTGACTTCACCGATGAGTTAGCTATCTTTGTTAAGTAAATGAAAAATGACAATGACCGACATAGAATGATGGATCCATAGGTAAAATTTGATATGAATAAAAACACAGGGTTTGAAGTTGGAAAGAAAATGTAGGAAAAGTCACTGCTTCATTCGCAGAATTTCGCTTTTGAGACGGTGGTGGATTATTTTGGAAGCAGACAGCTTCTGCCAACTAAACTTGGACGTGGATTACTTTGTATACTTGATAGGCCGTGGATTTCCCTTCCTTTTGCGGGTATCCTTCCTGATTTTGTGTCTCCAAATTTTGACAATGTAACTTATGGAAAGACACGTCCGCCAGTGAATAGGAATTATTTTTATGAATAGGCACACTACACACAATCACCATTGTTAGGAAAAAACCTTGAAAAAATCGAGGAAATAGGTAATAGTTTCTTTCAAAAGTCTTGTCTACAAACCACTGTCAACGGCTGTCAACCATTGTTTTCATACTCTTTTGGCGTCTGACAGTTTGATGCCAGAGAGAGAGGCCACAGAACATATCACCTATAGAAAAATATCTCAAATGGGAGAATCGCGACGAAGGTTTTTAGTTAGGTTTTTAGTCAACGATGGCGACACTGTCGGGAGATAAGATAAATTTACAGGTATCTGTGGTGTGGACAGTGATTTGTGTTGATTGGTTTTGTCATTTATTTTGTCATTTTAAAAGTCAAAATTTGAATTTTTAAATTTAAATTGTGTTGTTGTAAACTATGGTCCCCACGCGCGTTAAAGTGAAAATTCAAAAAGTTTTGGTTGAAAAAAACCTTTTTATTCACTCGTTTGTTTCGTTTCGTTCGTATTTGTATTTATTATTCGTATTTACTTTGCGATCTACCTATAGCTGCGTGACGCTTGCTAACTTACTAACTCTTTTTGCACTATGTTCGACATCGGAAACTTCCTGCCAGTCATAGTTTTCAAAAAAATGAGGCGAAAAGAGCTAAAAGGAGTCAGCAAACCAAATGCAATTGAACATTAAAAATTATTTAAAAATAATAAAAATATATGAAAAAAATCAATTCGCCTTTTTGTCAAGAATGCTCGATTAGTTGGATTTTCAGTCAACGATGTCGCTGTAATTCATAACCGGTACATAACATTGCAGATACTTTTCTAGAGGTGATATGTTCTGTGAGAGAGGCTTTTAAATTGAAAAGGTCAATTTGAATTTAAAATGAATTCGGTTCTCATTCGGTTAATGTTTGTTCATCGTAACCTAAAAGTCAAATGTCCGATCTGTCAGAAATGTGTTTGGAATCGTCGAAACCACAGACGACAAGGCAGATATCGAGTTACGTCTCGTTATCGAATCGTGTATCGAATCGTGATTTTAGAATCTCGGCCTTGGTCTCTGCGATGTTGGGATGTTGAGATTTGTGGCGCAATACTTTTTAGCCAATGATAGAAAGAAATAATATGTAATTTTATAGGTACATTATGTGAGGAATCGAACAGGGCCACTCACAGCATAGTCAACAATATTTCTATCCCTCTCAGTGTCGGCCTCGGGTTCACAATAAATACTAGATTCATGGTTATCTACTTCGGAGTCTATTTTATAAAAAGGAGCACAACTTTTTGAGGCACTATTACAATCAGTGTCACTGCTGTTACTATCAGAATTATCAGTTGTTTAATGGCTTTGATTACTTAAATTAATAGGTACAACACCACAAGATGTTGAAGCTATTGAACTTTCATTAGTGAATATTTTTGATTCAATTTCACACACTTTTATCACATTATGATTTTTTTTAATATTCGGTTTATTTGCCGTTTGCTCTTCCTCTTTTGTAAATCCATTTTTTAAATCACCAAAATAAAAAACGGAAAACGCGGGCAAATAGAAAAACGATAGAAAACTTAAGTTTTAGGTTATGGATTGAGGTGATAAGATGGGGGCCTTCGTTTTTGTTTATTTGTATTAGATAATTTTTCACCTACCTTGTTTCCTCTGGTTGAGTAACCCATCCTGGATACATTCATAGGTAAAAAACACCACAAAAATCGAAACGCCTACCTGCACGAGTGGAACAAAATCTATATACCTATATAAAAATCAATGTTTGCTGGGTATTCGGCTATGCGCTCCTACACCACTTATCCGATTACGATGAAACTTTGGAAAATTGTTATGGCCATCCCAAGGAAGGTTTGTGGATAGGTTACGCATCTCGGAAAAAGAAATTAATTTTGAATTAATTATTAATTTAATTGTAAACAAATTCATTCACATTACATAACAACATAACGCAACTTTTTTTTGAAAGCATGAAACAACGTTGCCATATTTCATTTATTTAGGCTTGCCATTCAACCGACGTAACTTTATTATTTTTTGAATTCGAGAACGGCTGCACCGATCTTGAATTAAATACCACGTATCTCTATATAAGCTGAATTCAATTGACCCAGATTAGATCGATTTTGGTTCAATTTGAGTGAACTTCTTCTGATCTAGATCATTTTTTTGTTTATGATGGTGCACTGATCCAGCCTCAATCGAACACAGTGAGGTTCACTTAAATTATACCAGATCGATCTAATCCGGTCAATCGAATTCGGCTAAAGAGGGGCTATTTTTTATCCCGAAAAAAAAAGTTCGGTTGCGCGAAACTCTGATACACTGGAATACCTATAAACAGCCCGGGGCGCTCTAGAACAGTTCTGGAGTGCTTGAAATGCGTCACTGAACTCACTGGCAAGCGACTCTGGTATCGGATAAAAAAAATAAAAATATTAAATAGAAAATCAACAACAAAATTTGAAAAAAAGTGTATTATTTAAAAATGTATTTTCACGCTAGCAACTCAGCGGCTCATTAGCTAATAAACAATAAAATAAAGCAGAATGGCTTCGCCTACGCTCACAAGTCACGACTGCTCACGACTCTACGCTACGCTACGCCGCGGTCGCCGCGCCGGCAAAAAAATACTCTGTTTGCGCAAATAGGCGCATTCCTGTACAGTAGCTGCACTAATATTCTACACCAGGTGTTGCATCAATATGCGCATGGGAGATCGAAATAATCTATCGCTTTTTTCATACAAAATCTGCAAAGGAGCTGCATATCAAATACTGCACTTCTAAAATACAGTATTCCCAATACAATTTCTGTGCAGCATTGATAAAACTATTTTTATTACGCATGCATCATAATCAACGATTATCGCACGCTGCAGCGTGCATAAAATGATGTTTTTCTACTTGCGTGCGCAAAGTAATCACTTTGCACACTCATTTGCGTGCGCAAAGTTAAACTTTGCGCACGGAAACTCTTTACGCACTCATTTTTGTTACGCATAATTACCATAGTTATACTTGATTTTTCAATGTTTTGATGGTTTCTGAATAAACTTATATTCAAAATTAAGGGTTTTAGTTGAAATTAACGCTTAGTTAACATGATGTTTCCTATCAAAGGTGTCCAAATTGGACCAGCCTGTACTGCTAGGAATTTGTAAAATTTTTGATATTTAAGAGACTCTCATGAAAATATTCTGGCTGATTCTAGAAATACCAGAAGATGGTAAAAAGATATTTGGGGATTTAATTTAAAAGATATTCTGAGGAATTCCAATAGATTTTAAACGATTTTTGAAGATTTTGATTTGATTGGTTTCTCTAATATTTTAACAATTCAAAGTGTACTTTTTTAAGATACTCGTAGAAAAAATATTGTTCCTAACACTTGCGCAAAGTGTTTTTCCCGCACTTAAAGCTTATCCGAACTCCGCTTCGCGTCGTTCGTCTAACTGCTTTTTCGTGCGGGAAAGTATCACTTTGCGCACTTGTTAGGAAAATAACTATTATGATGCGTCTACCTTTTCAAAGGTTTGCTATAGAAACGTTCGATCTACCTTCATTACCTAGATATTTACCTGCATACCTGCCATTTAAATTACTACTTATCAAAATGAATGAACACTTTTAAAACATTTTTGAGATTATGATGCATTCGTAATAAAAAATAGCGTATGCTATGCGTGTATAAGAGGGCATTTAAAGCCCTTGTGACTTACAAAACACTCCGCTGCGTGTCGTGTTTTGAAATATGTCGCGCGTGCTTTAAATGCGCCCTCTTATACACTTATATCATAATATACTATTATGTGCTGTATTTGGGCGGTGTTCGTGATACAGCAACATTACAGCGCCAATAAGTTGTGTTTATTGGGCTTTCTTGCAAAACTTAGACTATACAATACAAACACTGTATTTGAATGCATTATATCGTCGGTATACTGCCAAAAACCACTAAGTCAAAAAAGTTAATTCTGCGAAAAAAGGCATTTTAAAAATAAATAAATTTAGAGAAGAGTTTTAAGGCACTTACTTAGTTTAAAATTTGCCGAATTTTACATAGTATGAAACAGCGTATATTAAAGAACGCATCTAAAGAAAATAATTTGTCTTGAATAAAAAACAGTTTGGTTTTACTATTTTTTTCTAGATCGATGCTAGGATTTAATTGTTTCTGCTTGTTAGAAATGACTTAATTAGTTTTGCCTGAATATAACAATTTTTAACGCTAATCTTAGTGTTTTTTTATGAAAATAGAAAACAGTTTTTAAATTACTTTTTATTGAAAAAAAACACAGCTCTAGTCACAAAAGTCTTAAAATGAAAAAATAATTCCAATAAAAAAGTTATGATTAATTTTTTTGCTTTCTCTTAATCATCTTCCTCTACATCAGAGTCTTCAACACCTGGTTCTGCAGTTGAATCCACAACATTTTCTGCACACGGCAAATCTTGATACCATTTCTGAAGTTGGTGAGGAATAATGTTTTTATCACAAAGCTTCAAGAGTTCCTTCTTCTTGGCTTTCGAAATAGGTAACCTTTTTGAATATTGTTGTGCTATCTGTATGTCTGTCTCTTTATTTTTTCTGCAACTTCTTTTGACAAAATTTACGTCAATTTCTGTGTAACCGTCGATAAAATTGTACTTATAGAAAATGGAGTTTGGGTATTGCTTGTCATATTTAAAAGCCTTTACTTCTAGCCAATTAACACTTTTTCCTTCTTTGTCAATTTTCTTATTAAACACTGTTTGTAGAACTAGTTTCTTCAGATCTAAAAATTCATTAAAATTGTTTCTCGAGTTTGGTAAGGTTTTTGTTGTCGTTTTTTAGATTTTTTTTGTTTTCCTGACCATTTTAAATACGTTTTCGTATTCGTGAATGCTAAATATTTCCAAATTTTGCTTAGCTTCTTCAATAGCACTATGCATACTATCAACGTCCATGTAGGAGTGATCACTTTCCATAAATTTCTGTTCAATAACCCCAAGAGTCGGATGATTTTTCACAGTGTATAAGAGAAAAGCACTTATTTGTACATTGCGATTTTCGCCACCGCATGTATCTGAAAATACTGTCAAATGCTTAACATTTTCACGAAGGTTCTTTATGTACAAAAAAAGGCATGAACCAATTTCGCAACTGCCTCTTTTACCACTAACCTCGGTCCAAAAATAACAATACGCATCATTAGGGACTGGTGCTTCATAGATAGTGAAAATGTAAAGGTTAAGTTTTCGCAAATAGTACAATAAGCTTCTTTGTGAAGTTGGCAGTTGCAAAACTTTTTCCATGTCACATGTTATTGATAAAAAGCTTGGGTCAGTGTTAGCTTTTTGCTTGTCCTTATTTTTTTCTAACTGTGAAGCTTCCTTTCTCTCCAGGTGAGATCTAAAGTTTTCCTCTAAGTCTTGTTTTTCGGCGAGTGAAGCATTTGTATACTCTGAACAGGTCATGCACTGATCTTTCTTGGGCACGAAAAATGATTTATTGTAGTTTTGACAAAAAATACGTCTGTAAGTTATTGAGGACACAGTTGGCAGATTTTTATCTTTACACATTTGTACAAATAGCTCATGCATTTTAATAATGTCTAAGCTGGGATCTAAATATTGCCGTTTGCTGCTTTTTCTGGTATAGTGGCTTTCTACTGCTGGAAAACTTTCGATGTGCTCTTTTACCGTTTTTATCACTGCCTCTGGAGTTTTGTTTCCAGGTCTATGTTTACCTGTTTTATCTTTCTGCCTATCATATTCACCACCATCTCCTTTATTTCCACAAGCATGCAATATGGGGCTATTCGATATAGAAAGCGTTTTGCAGAAAAAATTTTGGCATACTTCTTTTTTAACACCATTTTTATCAAAAAAATATTTGTTCGAATTATTTCTTTGCTTGGCATTTTCTTTTCTGGGCCTTCGAGTTTTAATTTCTTGGACGGTAATGTTTCCTAATAAAAAATCACGTTGTCTTGTGAGAGAAAGTTTCCAATATGCTTGGCATAACCTAACTCTCAGTTCTTGAGGAAAGTTTTCTGAGCACTTGAGTCTACATTTACTACAGTCAACCATTTTTGATTCCTTTGGAGCTTGTTGTTTTCCTTGAGCACTAAGGTAGGGTTGTCCTTTACTGCGTTTTTTCCATGTCTCCGGTTTTGCTTTATTCCATCTTATTCTTTTCTTTTTTGGAGGCACTTCTTCTGATTCGTTTTATGTATCTCCCTCTTCATCGGATTTCTGTTGTGTTTCATCTGTTATAGTTTCAATAATTTTTACAGGTGCGTCCTTCCATTTTCTCTTAGTCGCTGTGTCATCACTGGTATCCGAGTCAGGTACATAGTCCTTGTCTGCAACCGAGTCATCTGAATCAAAGTATTTTGGGCCAGTTTCAGCATTACTGTCATCTGTGTGAAGGCTACTTCTGAGACTGGTAGAAGGGCCTACATCTAAATGATCACCTGTAAAAAACGCGTGCTACATTACAATATTGAAAAAAAAAAAAAATGTTTTGAGCGAAATAGGAAAAAAGTTCTTAGATATTCTGTTTTCATTTCATCTTGTTATTATCTGTCATACTTGCCTTCTAGTTTTTCTGAATCTGGATAAAGCGACACAGGCCTAAGTGAGGTATAAGTTTTATTAGTCTCGTCCGATCTAATTTCAGCTTGAGTTACTACTATCTGCGATTGTTCCACAGCTAAGCCCGGAAGCTCAGCTTCAATGACAACTAAAAAATCACTTCCTATAGTTGTCATTATGGAATTTTAAAAATTGTAAAACTTACTAGAATTTTCATTTTTTTCGGTGATGTCTTCAATAAAAAGCCATCGGTTATCTCTTCAATAGAGAAGCCATTTGGCTCTAGATTAAGGGTCGCATTTTCTCTATTTGGGATATTATTTGCGACAGAAAGGTTAAAGCTAGTAGTGGCGCATTGAGGAACTTCTATTTTATCATAACCTGAAAAAGTAGGTATGTAGGGAATTAAACATTCTTCATTATAAAATTGACTTATAGGAACAAAACCATCCTAGCGTGTAATTATAAACTAAGCTTGGAAGTTGGGAATGCTGAAAATAATAACTAAATCTATTATTCTCACCTTTTCCATTATTTTCCTTCAATAATTGCATTATTTTATCTGAACGACGCATGATGCACCTTACACACAAAACGCACAAACGGAAAAAGGAGTCTGGACATGCTGTGACAAGATTTTGTATGCATTATTTGACAATACGTTGTGCAAAATCAAACCAATGTATCCTGGCAAAATTCACTAAGTCGTGACTTAGTGAATTTTGTATGAACATAATTTTTTTAGTCATTCAGGCAAAATCAATAAAGTCATTTATTCGGTTTTGCCAGTAGCGGAAATTACAATGTTGACTTAGTTGAAAAGGTAACGTAGCTGCCGCCATATTGACAAGCTGGTAGAATTATAGGTGGTTTTGCTTGTATAGAAATAAGGCATCTGACTTTATGAATTTGCCACTAAGTCAGAAATGAAAAAAAATTGACTTAGTGGGTTTTGCCAGTATACCGATCAATGACCCCGCACTTACTCGTAACTTGGATGGTCTCGAACATCGCAGATCTGTGGGCGATTTATCTCTCTTCTACAGGTACTATCACGGAAAATGCTCTGAAGAGTTGGCACGTATGATTCCACCGAGAGTAGCACCTACCAGGCGAACCCGTCAAACAGACGGTAACCATGAATTTACTGTCAAACTAGAGGCACCAAGAACCTCATTATATCAGAATTCATATCTCTGGAGAACAGCATCGCTGTGGAATAAACTCCCTGCGACGGTTTTCCCTGCAGGTTACAACCTGAACCGTTTCAAGACCAACATACACCGACATTTCCGCGCACTTGCCGCTTCTCGAGCGTGATATGACATTTCCTTGCGATTGCGCATATCCGTAAAAAAAAAAAAAAAAAAATATACTCTCTTATAGAATTGTCAAACATCAAACAATATGTTCATAATGCAATTTGTATTTGCCTTTTAAAATAAATGCGTTGTATAAGGCAGGCGACAAGACAGCTGGAAGACATTCCAGCCCTGAAACCGCTAGACATCCTAAAATTTCTAAAGGACCTAAAGTCAAAAAATTAAAAGTCAAAGTGACATTATGTTGGCAATACAATGTAAAATTGTCAATGCTTTCAAATTTTTTATGTAGAAAAGGCTTGTGTTGCCAACATAGTTACTAAATTTTTGACTTGGGGAATTATCTTAAAAAAAAAAAAAAACACAAAGTTTAGGACTAGAGGGGCTGCTTTAAGCAGGAAACCCGAACTTAGCAGCAGAAGGAGGGGTACAATAGATCAACCTTGGTCGCCGTGCAACTGACACCTCCAACACATACATACATACATACACACATACATACATACATACATACATACATACATACATACATACATACATACATACATACATACATACATACATACATACATACATACATACATACATACATACATACATACATACATACATACATACATACATACATACATACATACATACATACATACATACATACATACATACATACATACATACATACATACATACATACATACATACATACATACATACATACATACATACATACATACATACATACATACATACATACATACATACATACATACATACATACATACATACATACATACATACATACATACATACATACATACATACATACATACATACATACATACATACATACATACATACATACATACATACATACATACATACATACATACATACATACATACATACATACATACATACATACATACATACATACATACATACATACATACATACATACATACATACATACATACATACATACATACATACATACATACATACATACATACATACATACATACATACATACATACATACATACATACATACATACATACATACATACATACATACATACATACATACATACATACATACATACATACATACATACATACATACATACATACATACATACATACATACATACATACATACATACATACATACATACATACATACATACATACATACATACATACATACATACATACATACATACATACATACATACATACATACATACATACATACATACATACATACATACATACATACATACATACATACATACATACATACATACATACATACATACATACATACATACATACATACATACATACATACATACATACATACATACATACATACATACATACATACATACATACATACATACATACATACATACATACATACATACATACATACATACATACATACATACATACATACATACATACATACATACATACATACATACATACATACATACATACATACATACATACATACATACATACATACATACATACATACATACATACATACATACATACATACATACATACATACATACATACATACATACATACATACATACATACATACATACATACATACATACATACATACATACATACATACATACATACATACATACATACATACATACATACATACATACATACATACATACATACATACATACATACATACATACATACATACATACATACATACATACATACATACATACATACATACATACATACATACATACATACATACATACATACATACATACATACATACATACATACATACATACATACATACATACATACATACATACATACATACATACATACATACATACATACATACATACATACATACATACATACATACATACATACATACATACATACATACATACATACATACATACATACATACATACATACATACATACATACATACATACATACATACATACATACATACATACATACATACATACATACATACATACATACATACATACATACATACATACATACATACATACATACATACATACATACATACATACATACATACATACATACATACATACATACATACATACATACATACATACATACATACATACATACATACATACATACATACATACATACATACATACATACATACATACATACATACATACATACATACATACATACATACATACATACATACATACATACATACATACATACATACATACATACATACATACATACATACATACATACATACATACATACATACATACATACATACATACATACATACATACATACATACATACATACATACATACATACATACATACATACATACATACATACATACATACATACATACATACATACAGTCGACAAGAGTGTCTTTGTGACAGTTTTTAAGAGTTTTCTAAGTATGCCTACAAAAATTGTATAATGATTATATAGCATCACAATGTAGACACAATGCCATTAGAAGATTTTATAAAAATGGGCCTTTTTTGGTTTTGTAGATATCTTATTACAGTTTAAAAACTGCTTTTAAAATAATTTGATTTTATTAACATTTGTTATGTAGTTGTTTATACAAACATCATAAGTATCATTTTGCTAGTTGGGACTTAACCGATCAATTTTTGCAATATCTTGCGTGGTATCCGTTATAATTGAAGAAAACGCCGCTTTTTTTATTTGATCGATTATTTCATTTTTCAAAGAAGTACTTAATAGTCTAATTAGTTCATTTTGTATTGTAGAACTTAAATAGGTGACTGATTTCTTTATTTTATTTTCTAATAAATTTTTTATTACCAAATCGTATTTAGAAAGCAATTTTATAATAGATAAAATGGTCCTGGATTTGAAGAATCCAAACTTTCGTCATGTCCCCTAAACGGCATATTACTGCAAAATAACTTCAATAACACGCCCTAAAATTTTCGCCATACGGATACTTCCTGTAAAATTTTTAACTCGAGTTCCTGGTCGATTGTATCATTCCTTCTGCATCGGTCATCAACTGCATAAGTCTCGTTATGACTTCGCTTCTACTCGTGCCTAGTAATGGGAATGTTCACTATTTTTCAATTGTAATAAAAAGTGGTGGTTCTAGGCC